TTATAATAATAATAATAATAATAATAATAATAATAATAATAATAATAATAATAATAATAATGAAAAAAAACAAAATAAGGATAGATAATTCAAATTTGAAGTTTTTCTATGGACTTCTTTCATTTTGGGTTCATATTCATAGGTGCTATTTAGTATAGGTTTTTTTGTTTGTTTTAAATTTTGGTGATTTTATATATGACGCACTTTTAAAAGTTAATACCTTTTTCAATTTGGGCTGATTTAAAATCAAAACTTTAGAGGTTTTATGAAGTTTTGGATAAAACCTAAACGTATCAACTACTACTACTACTACAACAACAAAAACCCTTTATCCCACTAAGTGGGGTCGGCTATATGAATCTTTTTTCTCCATTGAGTCCTATTGTGTGTCATATTTTCATTTAATGTGTGTCATATTTTTCCTATTGTGTGTCATATTTTCATTTAATTCTAAAAAAATAATATCATCTTTTATACAATATGCCCAAGTTTTTCTTGGTCAACCCCCGCCTTTCTGAATAAAGTCGAATCTAAAATATCTACTCTCCTAATCGGATCATCAGATGATCAACGTTTAATTTGACCAAATCATCTAAGATGACTCTCGTTGGAGTTACACCAATCCTATCATGGATATATTCATTTTGCATTTTGTCTCTAAGTGAAAAGCCACTCATCCACCTAATCATTCTCATCTCGGCAACACTTACTTAGTTTTATGCTTCTCTTTTAAAGGCCAACATTTAGCACCATAGAGCATTGCAGTTCTCACCACCATCTTATAAAATTTTCCTTTCAGTCTAAGCGATACTTTTCTATCACACAATAGACCCAAAGCATTCCTCCACTTCAACCAACCAACTTGATTTATACTAATAAAATCTCCATCTATATCACCATCACTTTGAACAATAGACCCAAGATATCCAAAACGTTCACACTTTCTCATAATTTGATCACCCATAATTACAATATTGTCACCAGAGCTACTACTATTAAAATTAAATTCCATATATTCAGTTTTAGTTATACTCAAACGAAGACCTTTAGACTCCAATGTTGACCTCCATATTCAAGTTTTTCCTGAGCTTTCTTTCTCGTCTTATCCATGAATAACATCAGCAAAAATCATACACTAAGGTACATCCTCCTGTAAATTTCCAATAAGAACATTTATAACTAAAGCAAAAATATATGGACTTAAAGCAGATCCCTAATATAATCCAACTGAAATAGGAAAATATTTGGTCTTGTGCATCCGCTTTATTCTTAAAAATGGAGACCAAAATATTCTTCCTCCACTCCTCAGACATCTTTTTAGTTTTTAAAATAATATTAAAGAGTTTAGTAAACCAAGAAACTCCCAACTCTCATATATTTCTACACTTAAATTGGAATATCATCAGGTCTTACAGACTTTCCATCATTAGTTTTTTTAAAGTATCCTCAACTTATTTTTTTAATATTGTAACGACAAAAATGTAACATTTTATTATTATTAACGATTTGAAGATTACTAAGGTTGATCATAATTTCAGAAACTTCATTAAAAAGTTTATCAAAATAACTCACCCACTTATGTTGAGTATCTTGTTTTAAGAAAATAATTTTTGATTTTTTATCTTTAATATACTTTGTTTGAGTTAAATCTGTACTTTTCTTTTCTCTTTGTTTGACTAGTTTATGCATATATTTTCACTCTCTTTTGTATCTATTGTATTATAAATATCACTAAAAACAGAATTTTTAGCATCAAAGTTTGTTCTCTTAGACTTTTTACGGGTCATTTGATATTTCTCCCAGTTCTCTAAGTTTTTTACATTTAAACTAATTTTTATAACATATCTTCTTATATTTTATTTTTTCTTGCACATTATTATTCCACCATCAACCATTTTTATTTATAGAATTTTTTCGTTTGATAGAATTTTTTTCTTTTGATTCTCCAAATATATCTTTTGGCACTTGTTTAATAATTTTTGTTACTTTATCTTACATAGAAATTGCTTCTTCATGAACATACCAAATCTTGAATTATTGAATTTTACTCATAAAAATAATTTTAGGTGTATTTTAGTTGCCCCCATCTAATTTTACGACAATTCTACGACGATGATTCCTAGTTTTGTTTATTTTACAACTCTTCATCATAAAATCTAAAACTAATAATCAATGTTGAGTACTTAAATCTTTACTTGGAATGATCTTACAATCTCTACATTCTCGATGATCTCTTATTCTCATAAGAAAATAATCAATTTGTGTTTTATTAGATCCATTCTTATAAGTAATAATATGTTCATCTCTTTTTTATTGAATAAAGTATTAGCAATTAAAAAATCATACCATAAAACCAAATCTAATATGACTATATTTTTCATTAATCACTCCAAAATCATAGCCATTATAAATATTTTTAAAATATTCTACCACTCTACCGACACGTTCATTTAAATCTCCTCCAATAAAATTTTTTTCTTCATGAGGTATCCTTTGTATTAAGTCTTCAAAGTCATTTCAAAATTTATCTTTAGAACCTATATCTAAATCTACTTGAGGAGCATAAACACTTATAATATTAAAAATCTTAGTATCAATAATAATTTTAAGTGCTATAATTATATCTCTAATTATATTAATTTTTATAATATTATCTTTCAATCTCTTATTTATAATTACACCTACATTTTTTCTAGTGCAACTCTTATCTGAATACCAAGTTTTAAAACCAAAGTTATTAGTCTTTAGTCTTTTCTCCAACCTATTTAGTTTCTGGAATACATAAGATTCTTATCTTTCTATGAATCATAATATCAACTAATTCCATAAATTTTGAACGGTGATCCATCAAAATTTTTCTTCATTTCTATTATTAAAGTTCCAATAAATTATTTATGTTGTAAGTTAAATCATAATTAAATGATCATCATTATTTCAGTAAAAAACTTTGGAAGTTGTGAGCAAGGTCTTGAGATATAAATTCACCTAAATTGAAAGAGATTGCGGAAGATATTTAAGGCATAGTCTTTTGATTAAGAGCATGGTGGTTTATAATCTCATGTTTTTTGAACAATTGTTCAATTTCTTGGGAGAAATGTCTGGTTTAAACTCTATTTTACATGGATAAGGCTGAAAAGCAGGATGTGATTTAATAATCTTAAACTCTTCAACAACCTCTTTCCGTTTAGAAGAATTAGATTTGATAAATAATTGATCAATTTTTTTATCAACTTTGATGAGATGATTGCTAATTATTCGTGAATAGTACTAGTAAAGCTCACTTATTTTGATGATATTTTTGAACTCATTTCTAGTGATAGCTTCATGTGGATTTTTTCCAAAATTTGAATCCTTGAGTTGTTTTTCATTGACAAGCTATCATATTTAACTGCTACTTTATTTATTGACAAAATTTTTTACAAGAATAACATCTTGACATGTCAATCAGGATGAGTCATATGCTCAATATTTTTCTTTTTTCTTTAGCATGTTGTTCCATGGCAACGGATTTAGTGATTTGGCGTACGATCCTCTAAAAGATTATGCAATAAAATTATGATGGTGTTCTAGTAAAAGCTTGCTATAGAATTGAATTTGTCATTAGGAATCTAAAGACAATATATATAGAGAGATGACAAGATTCGAATATGATTTTGTTGATTGTGAAAAGGCTTATGAATAAATGCTAAGAGAATTAATATTTTCAAATTTGAGGATAGTGCATGATAAAGATATCATCAAGTTATAAAATTAAGTATGAAATTAATTTTGTATGAATTTTAGGTTAAATTACTCCCACAGAATTGGCCACACCTAATATGTCCACAATTTTAAAAGGGCTCTACATATATCTCTTAATTTTCTATCATTTTATATGTAAGTTCCTATCAGAATTACTTGGTTAACTTCTATTAGAGTACTTTAACTACCACTAAATTTATGACATGACTTGGAATCCCATTCACATATGGTTGGTGAACTTTTCGATGGCTTCTTTGCCTACGCTTGTCTCATTGATTTTGAGTTTCATGATTCCCATTTTCTGTTCGGGACAATCTATCTATAACTTGAGAAATTCTGAGCACATGTTCAAAAAATTTTCAATTGCATCATTTATCCCATCTTTGCATGTTTATGTGACATTCTCCCATGTTTTTTTGCAATTTCAACCACCTTTGCTACGGTATCCTCAAAGCCTTCATCGCATGCTATCCACATTGTCAATGAAAAAGCAACATCGACACAACAACTGTTGAAGAATAAAAATGAAGCTCTTTGCAGAGAATATAATTTCAACTCATGTCAAAACATCTTACGAATGCTTGCCAAATAAGAAATGGTGGGCATTTCTAGAGAGTTAGCTAGTAAGTGTAATCAATGAGGAAGGTGATGTCTCCATCACCAAATAGGAAAAATGAGGTTTTTATGAAAGGTGTGCATAAGTCTGACAGCACCCTGTGGTGAAAATTTAATAATTTTTTCTTGGACACCATTTTGAATACTATAAACCAATTTGATAGACTCAAATGATATCTAAAGGAAATTTAACATTCATACCGCTCAATTCAAGCTTATCTACATTTCTAACACCAAAACTTCAATTTTTACATATATGCCACCTTACCTATGCATGAAAAAGTATATTTCATTTTTTAAAAATTAAATTAGTGGTGTTTTTGATGTGACATGAAATATTTGGGTGATATAAGTTTAAAAGGCAATGTTTCGGTGTTAGATATATATATATATATATACATAAGAATTGGGTGGTATGTATATAAATACCCCTATTTGAAAATCTGTGTAGGAGGTGAGGGAAGTGTTTTTAAGAATATAACCTACATTAAGTGCGGTGTATACTAGGAATTTAATTGTAATTTATCTTCTTTTTTAATTGGTTTTTGACCTGCTTTCAAAAGATGTGTTTACGTGGTATGTAGCATCAAAAGATGATATCATCTAATTTGTGAAATAAATCTTTCGAAAAGAATAAAGATTTGGTATTTACTTTTGTGGTTGTGAGATTGATGATCATTAATAATATTGCTTAATGATCAATTTTCATTCAGCTCTATAGATTTTTATAGTTATATATATTATTCATGTGATTGACATGTCTCATTAAGGAGACAACATTTAGAATTTAGTGGTTAAATTAAAGAAGTTTCTCTAGATATCTATGCAATAGAGAATATTATGGATATTTAGTGTAATTAGATTGGCTATGTATCATGAATTTACTGTTGGACAACAAAAATATCGTTGACAAACAGATAAAGTGTGGCATTGAGCATGTACAACCATGAGTAGCTGATACTCCAACTAGATTAGTAGAGACATTTAAAGTGAAATACCTAGAAAATTAAAAGTGGGGAGCACACCTTACACAGCTTGAAGTTTAGTAGGACTCGTGCCAAAAAAAATTTCTCATGTATTACTTAATAAATCTAAGTGAGTGAATATTTAAAATATAAACCACAAATGATTGGTGTAATGATGATGATCATCATGAGTAGAAATTTACTGTCCCCATCACAGAAGATTATGAGCCTTTTTTTTTTATAATTTTGTTACCTGAGGTAAAGAGCTATTATTTTTGTCCTACAATAAAAACCATTGCTTCAGGCTTTATTTAAGGTTATCTAACACTAAAAGGTGAGTAAAATAGATACCAACTTTCATTACAAAATGTCTACCGATTCGGTTTATTTAGTGGATTAGCATTTTAAATGCTACCAACTTTTCTTGATTTCTAATCAGTATTGCTGTAATTTATCCATAGATTTCTTCTCTTTGCTAAGATCTTACAACAACACCCAAATGCCATTTTTTATTCTGATAAATTTCAATTTGAAATTTACAGTACCACTGGGGCATTAGAGGCTGCTTATACACAATTGACTGGAAAGGAAATATCTCTATCAGAACAGCAACTTGTAGATTGTGCTTCTGCATACAATAATTTTGGATGCAATGGAGGCTTGCCTTCTCAGGCCTTTGAGTACATCAAGTACAATGGAGGCCTCGACACTGAGGAGACGTATCCTTACCAAGGTGTCAATGGTATATGCAACTTCAAGCCAGAGAATGTTGGTGTCAAAGTTATTGATTCAGTTAACATCACACTGGTAAGGGTTCTCCGTTTTTTACTTTGTCCTTTTTTTGGAATATTTACAATCATACAACTCAATTCTTATTTATTTACATATTTAACACATATACTCTACTTTTTTATATTTATAACACCCAATTCATTGGTATCAGATCAATAATACCATTTTTCTAACTTTTAAAAAGAAAAATACATCTTTTCTTGCATAGCTAAGGTGACATATATATAAAAATTGAAGTTTTAAGTGTTAGATATGTAAATACATCGGAATTATGTGGTATGTATGTAAATCTTCCTATGATTTTTTGCATGGATATGAGAATGATATTAAAAAAAATCTTGAAGATTTTTAATGAGGAGGGGAGGAATAAATCACTTCACTTCTTCTAATATTATATTTCTTTATTTAAACATAAGGTTTTTTTTTGTCATTTTTGATGTTTATGTTAGAGTTATTTTGCTAAACTGTGAATAAACATTTTTTTAGACATACACAGAAAACAACAGCTATTGTAGATGTATAGGTGATAGTTTGTATTACCCTGCCATATATAGAAAGAATGTCAAAAGCAGGTTTCAGTGTCATTTATCCTTTCGATACTTTAAAGAATGTTACAATAGATATTTGCAGGTGCATGCAATAGTTTATTATAAATAACTTTACATTTAAATTATGGGTTGTGTTGTAATATACCCTCAACATATCCATTCCTTATTCTTTACCGTTGGACATGTCGGACTTTATGTGAAGCATCTTGTTGAAAATGAACATATGATTGTTGTAAAATTTTATTTGCTGTGTAGATTGTAAAATTTGATTTGCTTTATAGATAGCAAATGCGACTTAGCATTCTATATTTGTTCAGAATCAAGATGTCATGATCATAGATCTCTGCTGAATCTAAGTTGTATTTTGGATTGATCTATGTTTATTTATAGGGGTCTGAGGAGGAGCTTAAACATGCAGTTGGACTGGTTCGACCTGTTAGTGTTGCATTCGAGGTTGTGACTGGTTTCCGGTTCTACAGGAAAGGAGTTTACACGAGTGACACTTGTGGGAAGTCTCCAATGGTATGCTTTAAGATAATTTATATTTCTATCCTTTGCTCAACATGATTTCTATTGACTTGAATCATAAGACAAGATATTTCTAAATGCTGAACAATTCCTTAATTTTTGCACATATTTCCAATCTCTTGATGCATGCGTAGTAATCTATAAATATCTTAAATTTTATATACGGGTTTTTTAAATCTTACTAAAAAAAGATATCATGACCTATATTTTTTCCATCTTCTGAAGGATATGATTAATTTTTTAATTATACCAGTTAATGATTTTATGTTCTTTGTGAAAGAAGCTGTGCTTGCACATCTAGGCTGCATTTCTTTTGGTCGGAGTGCATTTTAATGTCACTGTAATTGCTTATATGTTAAATATTATTATTGTTTTGGTCGGACTGCATTATTAATTTCTCTGTAATTGTTTAGTTTGATGTTATTATAGTTGATGTTGTGCTACAAGCATATTGTGGCATTGTTTTTTCTTTTCAATTTTATTGAAATATGTGTAAGGGCATCTTTAGAGTATTTGGATTGGAGAAAAAAAATTGAAATCATTGGATATCTTATTGGTGATACCGGTTTTATCATAGTATCGTACAATATAGTTTAATTTAGTTTAATATTGTATACTATATAATATGATGTAATAAAGTGTATAATATGTTGTAGTATAATATAAAATCAGTGAATTGAAGGCTAAATTAATTAAATTTCACTGATTTTATGTAGTTTTCCGTGGTATATTCCCATATGTTTGCTCATAGTGTCATTTGGAGTCAAGCGGTCATATGTTAAAAAATAGTCATTGTTAACTTTTAGATCCTTTACAATGGAATCAATCAACTTTTATTTGCTCAATTTATTCATATAAATAACAACTATGTTGAACAAAGCTGATATGCAGGTAATCTGTAATTTTAACCTGAAAATTCATAATGTTAGAAAACCAACCGACCATCCAACTCAATAAATTAGTGAGAAAATTCAAAATCGTAGTATAATACTTAAGAAACTCCTCCTTCCAGGATGTGAACCATGCAGTTCTTGCTGTCGGCTATGGAGTTGAAGACGGTATTCCCTACTGGCTTATAAAGAACTCATGGGGTGGAGACTGGGGTGATCATGGCTACTTCAAGATGGAGCTTGGCAAGAACGTGTGTGGTGAGTAATTTACTAATTTCGTAGAGTTCCTGATCTTTTTTTTTCCCATCTTTATGTAGCATTTCAATATGATTTGCTTCTGATACAGGCGTCGCGACTTGTGCATCTTACCCCATTGTTGCTGTGTAGAATCTTCCGTAACATAAAATGATGAGCGTAAAAGCTGTTATCTTTAGCAACGTGTGAGGGTTGATTGAAGGAAAATATCATAATAAGTGGACGATGTGGGAATGTGATGAAATGCATTAAGTTAGCATGCTCAATATGTGAACTTTCTGTTTTGGTTGTAATATATTGGTAGATACTCGTAATTTTCCTAGTATTAAATTCTCTTTGTTGATGTCAATTTTATGATGGGGGCATTTACATACATACCACCTAATTCCTTTTTATTTAGATATCTGACACCAATTTTTTTTTTTTCATTTTGATTCTTCTATATTATATAAATATTATTATCATTTGAACTTTTAAAAAAACAGATACACTTTCTCATACATAAATAAGGTGATATATTACGTAAAAATTGAAGTTTAGGTGTTAGATATGTAAATACATAGGCATGAGTGGTGTGTATGTAAATCTTTCTTTATGATAGTGTTGTTGCATATAAAACCAAATGACTGACGAAGATGCACTCTTAATTCAAACATTGCAGTATAAATGCTTTAGAGAGATTTAATTCTATCGGAATTTTACACAGCATTAGGGCTGTAAATGAGCCGAGCTTGAGTGAGCTCAGGCTTGGCTCGTGTTCGGCTCGTTCGAAATAGCTCGTGTTCGAAATCGGCTCGTGTTCGAAATTGACTTGTGAACAATGTGTTCTTGTTCGGCTCGATTTAAATATTCAGGTTTGTGTTCGGCTTGAAATTCATTCCTTAAAATTAAATTGAAAAAAATTGATGTAAAGTGAAATTCGAACTTGGATCAAATATATATAAAATAAGGGCAAACAAAGAATTGTTTGTGTTCGGCTCGTTTATAATTCGAGCTTTAAAAACCTGTTTGTGTTCAATTTGTTTACTTAACGAACGAGCTGAACACGAGCTGTTCCAGAACAACGAGCTTTTTTGACAGCCCTACACAACACTCAATTTTCATGTATTTATATACCTCACACCTAGCTTTCATATTTAGACACATAAAATCTAATCTTTAATACCACATAAAAATTAGCACAATTATCACTTTCTAAAAGTCAAACATACCTTTCAATGCTTTGGTTCAAATACACCAAAGTGCTATGTATGGAAATATGAAGTTTTAGCTGTTAGATACGTAAATACATAACCATTGTAAGCTACATGTGTAAATTGTCCTAAATTCTATTCTGTGAATGGATAATGCTGAACGCATGTTGCTGCTACTAATGCTTGTGAATTGCAAGGCTGTTTGGTTGTCAGTGGTTTGTTGGAGCTCATAAATGTGGAGTGGTCTGAATTTAATTCAGCAAAATGCTACAGATTAGGAATATTATATCAAAGTGGTTTCTATATCTCACAAAGTATGTTCATATTAATGCCAGATTTTAATAGACATTAATATGAATCTGAATCAATTTTTAAATAGTTTAAATTTGTGGAGCTAATGAAGTAAATTGAACGCTTGCTGATAAATATGATTAAAACAGAAATCTAAAACGTCTGGACCTCTGGGGGCTATTTTATTATTTCACTACAAAATTACTATAATTTTCATACACACACACACACGTGTGTGTGTGTGAGAGAGAGAGAGAGAGAGAGAGATTCACAAATATGAATACAAAAAAATAAGATGGCAATATTTACCTTCAAATAATTTTCTCAGATTTATTTGACTTGTTGTTGTTGTTGTTGTTATATGCCACTATGTATTGTTTCTTTGACACTTACACTTTTTAAATCTAAGCACAATTCTTCCATTAGCGATGCCCGTTAAAAATAGAGAAAAATGCATCCATTGTTAGATTACCTCGTATGAAAATGAACTCAACAAGTGATTTAAGCTCGAGCTTTCCAATCGAACTCAAATTTTCAATTCATGCTCGATCTTGAATCCTTTTTACCCAAGTAGAGCTCGAGCCCAATAAATGAGCTCAAGCCATTCATGCTCGATCTTGAATCCTTTTTACTCAAGTAGAGCTCGAGCCCAATAAATGAGCTCAAGCCGAGCTGAAGCTCAAATTCCAATGCTTTGTGTGCTTAAATGCAAAATAAGATCATTCTGCTCACCAGTACTGAAACTCCATAAATTTGTTTTGATGAAAATAAAACCATAAATAAAATAATTAGGACGCAAAACAAAATCAACGTCAACATCTTTGGACCAAAATCCTCATAAATATTGAAGCAAATCTCAACCAATTCAGCCCACACATCCACTCAGATTATAGCAAAACATTCTTAAAAGGGAAGTGATTAGCTTTGATACGAAGTTCAAATCATGCTGTACATCAATGAAAATACTGTAACATGTAAGAATTTAGGGGCATTTACATACATACCAAACAGTTCCTATGTACTTGCAAATCTAGCACTTAAACTTTACATTTATATTCATACCACCGAAATTTTTTACATCACATCAAAAATCACTTCTTAAAATTTTAATAAGTCAAATATATCTTTACATGCATAGGTAGGGTTGGATATATGCGAACATTCAAGTTTAGGTGCTAAACATGTAAATATGATTGAAAATAATTACCTTATTGTTGGTTAAACGACTCTGCTGTATTTCTTTTATTGTCTTTCTCTGCAATTAAGTTGCGGGGAAGGCGTAGCTCCAAGTGCACGTGATTATTCTGTGATGCCATTAGAAGCTAAGATCAGCCATATACTTAATGGAAATAGCTTCTTTGTAATTGGAAAGGGAATGGTTGGTGGCATGATTACATGTTTGACATTTTAATGAATAAAACGTACACGGGCTACCATTCTTCCATTGAGGGTTGAAAAGTAAAAATCATACGGACATTAGGGTACAGCTTTTAGCAGATTTTGAAAAAATCAATATATATATAGGGAGAGA